CCTCCGACAATGTAACCCCCAGCACTGCATTGGTGTGTCAGCTTAGACTACATGATTCCACGTCTGGACTTGGGGCTTGAATCCACGACCTTCTGATGTAGAGGCGAGAGTGCTATAGAATCATAGAATCGTACAGCACAAAAAGAGGCCATTCGGCCCATCGAGTCTGTGCCGGCTCTTTGAAAAGAGCAATGTAATGTCACTCCCACTCCCCGGCCCTTTCCCCATAACCCTGCAAACTCTCCTCCTCAAATACCCGTCCACCGCATTTCTAAAAGTAGTTATCGAATCGGCCTCGACCGCCCTTTCAGGCAATGTGTTCCAGATTCGAACAACTCGCTGCGTGAAAACATTTCTTCTCACCTCCCCTCGGCTTCTTTTAAAGACTATCTTGAATCTGTGACCTTGAGTCACCGACACACCCACCAGTGGGAACAGTTTTCCCCTTTCTAACCTATCAAATCCCCTCATGATTTTGAAGACCTCTATTAGGTTTTCTCGTAACCTTCTCTGCTCCAATGAGAATAATCCTCTCCTCTCCAGCCTTTCCTCATCATCACGGTCCCTCATTCCTGGTACCATCCTCGTAAATCTCCTCTGCGCCCTTTCCAACGCCTTAACATCCTTCCTATAGTGCGGTGCCCAGAACTGGGCGCAGTATTCTAACTGAGGCCTAACCAGTGTTTATATGGGTTAATCATCACCTCCTGACTCTTGTACTCTATGTCCCTATTTATAAAGCCCAGTATCCCAAATACCCTTTTGACAGCTGTATCTACCTGTCCTGCCACCTTCAAGGATTCATTTACCTGCACCCCCAGTCTCTGTGTTCTTTCACCCCCCCCCCTTAAGATTGTATTACCAGCCGATATTGCCTCCGCTCATTTTTTCTGTCAAAATGCATTACCTCGCATTTCTCCACATTGAAATTCATCTATCACTGAGCCAGGCTGACATACATTGCCACTGAAGGCTTTCCAGCACTCTGTTGGGAAAACCAAAAGCATTGCGAGTAAACATGAATTGCCTGTATGTCGCCTGTCACTTGGAGTTAAAGCTCCCTGTCTCTTGCGGTTAGTTAGGACAAGTGTGTGGCGAGCGAGCGATGGAGGGAGGGAGCGAGGGAGGGAGCGAGGGAGGGAGGGAGGAATGAGTGGACGAGATGTTCTTTGGCAGCTGTCAAAGAACATCTTTGTCTGTCGTGACAAAGCTGAAATGAAGGGATAGCGTTACATATCAACAGCCTCCGTGCAACCTCCCGTTCTCGCCTCAGGAGGTCGTGGGTTCGAGCCCTCCCGCCTGTGCCCTGTTCAGGCAGACATTAAAGGTCCCATCAGAGACTGTTGGAAAAGAGAAGGGAGTTTCTCTCCCCACGTGACTCACTTCCCGTCTGCTTGTGGGGATCTGTTGGGTGCAAATAGTTCGCTGTGACGGCCAACAAAACAGTCACCTCACTTGACAAAAGTTACCGTAAAGCACTTTGCGATGGTTTTGGTGACAAAGTCTCTGAAAAAGGATGCGAGGTCCCCCTCTTCCTGACACTCCTCGAGACATCTCGTTTGGCAGCTCCGTCGAGGTTAGTGAGTTATCGAGTCCAGTCGTCATGGCAACCTTAGCCAGCTCCGAAACCAACAAGAGACGAGGTTTGAGTGCAGACATTTTACAGACAGATAGACAGAGGCCATTCAGCCACGGGCTCTGGGCTGTCAGCTCTCTGGCCCTTCCCATTCCCCACACACACAAACAGCCTTTTATATATATTCTCTCTTTGTAACGCATTGGGGGCCAAGTTCCCTTTTAAAATCTATCATGAATTTCAACCAATGTTTCTGGTTGGACGTACCATATCCTTAAAAACCCTGTGTGTATGTGTGTAATGTATGTGTCTGTGCATGTGTGCGTGTGCGTGTGTGCGCGCATGTGTATTTGTGCGTGTTCCAGCGCCTTTGGGATGTCCTGCTATTTGTATAGCGCCTTTCATACAAAAGGCACTATGCAAATGCAATTTGATGTTGTTTGTTGTTATGCGTGTGTGTTTGTGTGTGTTTGTGTGTGTGTGTGTGTCACATTCTAACCTCCCCCCCCCTCATTTTTATATAATAATAATAACCCTTGTATTTGATACAGCGCCTTATCGTGTCTTCGAGACGTCTCAAAGCGTTTCACAGAATATGCTGTAAAGTGAATTGACTGTATATTTTGTGGGCGAAACACGGTCCACAGCAGTGTCCCACAATCGTGGATTAAGTGACCAAATTATTATCATGTTTTATTTTTTTAATTATTTTTATTTTTTGAAGGGATTATTACGTCCGGGAAAATGATCCAACGGTGTGATGGATTTTGAATGCCTCCATTAAGTCTCCTCTCAGCTGGCACGATTTAAGACTTCTTCCCAGGCCTAGAGGCTAATCCCTAGTGTTAGAGGAAATGAGTGATGAGCAGCGATTAGACAAGCAAGGGCTCTTCAGAATTCAGAGAGAACAACTCAGAGGGGTCTCGTGAAGATGGACACAATTTTACACGGGATCAAAAAAGTAAACCCAGAACAATACTTTCAGATGCATCGAAGCAGTAGAACAAGAGGTCACAGGTTTAGAGTTGCAGAGGACAGTTTCAGGACAGACACCAGGAAGTATTTCTTTACCCAGCGGGCAAATAGTAAGTAAAGACTGAAACGGGGTTTGCCAGGAAGGGTGGCTGATATAAAAACAGCTTGAGGCAGTGTGTGGGTGGGGGGACAGGGGCAGGGGACAGTAGGCTGGCTATTTTGAAGGGATGAGATCAGTTGGGAGGATCAATACGAAACAATCTTGTGATCTTGTGAAAACACCCATTGAGGAGTGAAAGCAGGAGGCAATTTTTCACCCAAAGGAGAGTGGAAATCTGGAACTCTCTCCCTCAAAAGGCTGTGGTGTTGATCCATTCACATCTTCAAGACTGAAGTGGATAGATACTTGTTAGGTCAGGGTATCAAGGGATATGAGGCAAGGGCAGGTAATTGGAGTTGAGGTACAGATCAGCCATGATCTTATAGAATGGTGGAACAGGCTCGAGGGGCTGAATGGCCTCCTGCTGTTTCTATGATTGTGTGTTTCAGCCCCAAGTATTCCTGTCTCTTAAAGACTCTTAAACTCGAGACAGAAGAGAGAGTGTAATTCTGACGGCTGCTGGCTATGAGAATAAAGAGAGCCATCACTTATTGTCTGCTATCATATCTCTGGCTAGATTTAAGTAAAGCAGATTGAGACCCGGACTGTCAGAGCGAGGGTGTGATTCAGTCACAGCTCTGAAACTACAGGTAGCAGTTGGCAACTGACTGATATCTGATAGTTTGTGTGTGTCTCAGTGGCGGGTTCCTGTGTGCACAGTACACACCGGCTAATAGGAAACCAGTCACTCCTGTCTGGTGTTGTTTATAACTGGGGGGAGAGGGAGGAATGGTGGAGTCCTGTGGGATAGTGGTTAGAGCACTTGCCTCTCAATCGAGAGGACCCGTGTTCGATTCCTCCACGGAGCAAGTTTCCTTATTCCACAAGCCTCTTTACCTGTAAGTACGAACCTAGTTGATAGTCGATTGGCTGATCACTTTCCTGTGGTAATAATGCCTCAAAAAAAATTCCATGACTGTTTGTGGGACACCGCTGAGCGCATTTGGTTGCCGCGTTTCGCCCACAAAACACTCAGTCACTCCACTTTACAATGTATCATGTGAAGCGTTTTAAGATGTCTCAACAACGTGACAAGGCGCAACATCAAATGCAAGGATTATTATTAAATATGACAACCATTTTGCGGGCAGTAGTGCAAACACACAAACAGCCATGACGTGAATCAGCAATTCATCTGAAGGATTGTCGGCCGGGACACGAGGAGAAATGGTCTCACATTTCCAGCAGAGCCACGGCATCTTTAGCAACTGCGGAACAGGGCGCAAACGGGAGTTCGGTTTAACGTCTCATCCCAAGATGGCAACGCTCCCCCCATCACTGAGCTGGAGCATCAAGTCAGTCAGGACTGTGAGCTCAGACTGTGTGAGTGATTGAGTAGCTTGTGAGACGTGCATCACTCATGTCTGATAGCTCACAGTTTCCATCAGCATTACACTGTGCATATTGATCTGTCCTGGCTAACGGGCCGGCAACATTTTTTATCGAAAAAGTCACAGCTGAGTCCAAGGCACGGGAACAGTTACTGAGCAGCCAGAGTGGATTTAACAGCGATGGTTACAGGGAAAGGAAAGAACGAGGAAAAGGTCCAGACACCCACTCATAATAATAATAATCCTTGCGTTTGATAAAGCGCCTTGTGACGTCTTCGAGGCATCTCAAAGCACTTCACGGAATATACTGTAAGGTGAATTGACTGTATATTTTGGGGGCGAAACTTGGCAGGTGAGACGAGGGAGTTGTGAGCTGGGATATGGGGTCCAGATTTCTCTCTGAAACGAACACGTGGTATTTTCACAAAGCCCGGTCCAGGCGTTCACCGCTCTCTGTGTTTATCGTCACTGACACAAAGTGGAGCCCGGCGCAAACGGAGTTAATGTGTGTGTGTATCAGCATGTGTGAGTGTGATGTGAGTATATGTGTGAGTGTATGTGTATCAGTATGTGTGTGAGTGTGTTTCAGTACATGTGTATGTGTGAGTTTGTGTGAGTATATGTGTGTATGTGTGTGTATCAGTGTGAGTGTAGGTATGTGTGTGAGTGTGTGTGTGTGAGTGTTTATCAGTATGTGTGTGAGTATATGTGTGTGAGTGTATGTATCAGTATATGTGTGTGTGAGTGTATGAGTATATGTGTGTATGTGTGTGAGTGTGTGTGTGAGTGTGTGTGTGTGTGTGTGGGTATCAGTATGTGTGTGTGTCTCTATGGGGAATATACAGTGTCTCCCGCGTAGCGCTGTGAGATGTCTTGACGACGTGATAAGACACTGTATCAAATGCAAGGATTATTATTGTCATTATTAATAATAATTTCTCTTTGCTTCCCTCGGCAGCGGAGAGGCTAAGGAGGCTGGAGGGACCGAGGGGCTGGTGAGAGCCATAGCCGGGCGAGGCCGGGGAGAGAGAGGAGAGAACGGCAGCGAGCGAGCCCCGGGACCCCTCCAGCCCAGAGACAGGAGGAGCTGGTGGGGGTCCGGCCCGGGCTGTGAGCCTGGCGACAGGGAGGACCACGGCCAGCGGCCGCTCCCCCGAGCACGGTGCTGGGGGGAGGGGAGAGACCCCAGCGCTGGGTGTGAAGCCAGGCCGGGGGGAGAGAAGAGGAGCTGGGTGTCGGCTATGCGAGGCTGGGGTGAGGACGACAGGAGCTGGCAGGGAGCAATACAGGACTGCAGGGAGGTAAGTGCTCAGACCCGTTCCCGCACGGTCTCCGTTTAATCACAGAATCTTACGGCACAGAAGGAGGCCATTCGGCCCATTGTGCTTGTGCCGGCTCTTTGAGGAGCTACCAACTAGTCCCAGTCCCCCCACTATTACCCTAACTACTATTATTATTATTATTAACTAGTCCCAGTTCCCCCGCTCTTACCCCAACTAGTCCCACTTCCCCCATTCTTACCCCAACTAGCCCCACTCCCCCGCTCTTAATGCAATCAGTCCCTCTCCCCTGCTCTCACCCCATAGCCCTGCAAAATATGTCCTTTTCAAGTACCTATCCAATTCCCTTTTGAAACCTACTGTTGAATCTGGTTCCACCACCCTTTCAGGCAGTGCATTCCAGACCAAACAGCTCTCTAGGTAAAAAATAATTCTCCTCATCTCTCCTCTGGTTCTTTTGCCAATTATCTTGAATTTGTGTCCTCTAGTTACCGACCCACCGGCCAGAGGTAACAGTTTCTCTTTATCACTCGCAGACTCTACGCTATATTTTCCACTATTCCACCAAGTTGTTGTGGTGGTGATCTTTGTCACTCTGTTATTTCGTTGTGGAGTCCTGTAGCTCATTGGTGAGAGCACTCGACTCACAAGTAAGAGGACCCAGATTCAATTCCCCACAGGTCAAAACCTTAGGCAAGTTTCTTTCCTTACTCCACTCACCTCTGTTTACCTAGCAGTAAGTAGGAACCCAGTTGTTAGTTGATTGGTGGATCGCTTTTTCACACAACAAATTAAGGGTTAAATTATAATCCCTCCCAAAAAATACAAAAAATAATAGTGTGATCACTCAATGCACAACTGTTTGTGGGACACTACTGTGTGCTATTAGCTGCCGCGTTTCACCCACAAAATACACAGTCACTCCACTTTATTATATATTCTGTGAAGCGCTTTGAGACATCTCAACGACGTGATAAAGCGCTATATCAAATACAAGGATTATTATTATTATTATTAAACCCTTGTGACCCAAAGCCGATGAGTTTTGGTTCTCAGAAACTCTCAGCTCAAACTCTCGATCCCATCCGTGAGAGACAGTGAGGCAGAGTCAGCTCAGCACAGCTGTGAGGGGAGGAGAGAGGGGTTCAGATACCCCCTCCCCTCTCCCTCCCCCCATCAGGAAAGGACCGAGGAACATCAAGAATGTTGCTATCGCTGTGATGCGGAGCTGAGCCCTGCCCTGTAATATACAGCTGCTGCCAAGTTGGGAAAATCTGCCAAGTCAGCGAGAGGTCTGTGGTCAGTGTAACCATTTCCTGTCAATCAATGATCAATAATCAATCAATCACCGGTTGCCTTTCGGTGCAGAGAGACTGTCATGCACAACCTCTGACCCCCTAGGTACGTCACGGCACTTCCCCAGCACAAGATTCTCACCTTTTGTTAAATCGTTTCCCAGGTCACTCACTCACCTCTCTCTATCTCTGCTCACCTTCAAAGCCCTCCACAGTCACACTCCTTCCTACCTCTGTGACCTGCTAACCCCATATCAACCTGTCAGCTTCCTCCGCTAAGCAGTCGAACCTTCAGCCTCTGTCTCCGTCCTTTGGAACTCCACCCCACAGTCCCTTTGCCTCGCTACCTCCATCGCCTCCTTCAAGGCTCGTCTCAAGACCCTCCTCTTCGACCACGCCTTTGGTCACCCTCCTTCCCCCACCCTTCCTGCCCTCCGCCACCCTGATCCCAACCCCCAGCTCGGCTCGAAACCCCAGACCGTCCAGCGCCTTGAGATGTCCTCCTGATGCGAAAAGAAGGACTTGTCTTTTACCCCTGTGCTATGCAAATATAATTTAACCCTTAATTTGTTGTGTGAAAACTGGTTCACCCACAATCTACACAGTCATTCTATTTTGCATCCTGTGAATCTCTGGTCAGGACACACCTGCAGTCTTTCCTTTTGCCCAGTCGGGTGTGTGACACATGCAGAAACCCATCACCTTGCTTAAGAGTCTCCGATGGATGAGAATTCACCACCTCCACAGGGAAATCCTAGAGATAAGATTGTTGGAATGGAATGTGCTCTCTCTCTCTCTTTCTCTCTTTCTTCCTGGAGGGACACATCCTGTTTACCTAACTTCGGAGGGTATTAGGCGCAGGTTGGCAAGAGCCAAGGCTTGGGGACCCCAGAGTGTGTGTTGGGGTAACTGCTGGAGTCTAACCAGCTAAACTTGCACAGCTTGCCGTTGAGAGCATTGTCTGGCAAGCTTTCCCGCTTCTTGTCCAGCCAGGACCACCCTCCCCGTTAGGGGGTTGGCTTGCAGGGTGAGTGGGAAGATTGCTGTGTTGGATGCTATGACGGGAGGATAGGTGGTGAGGATGAGATAATTGGCTGTGATGTGTTAATGCTGTGTTTATTCTCTCTCTCTCTCCCCCCGTTAACCCTGTGTGTGTCCTCCTTGTCTGTGTGTGTGCTCAGGCTGGAGTGGGCTCCGTCAGGGGCTGTCCTTACTACCAATAGGAGCCGGCGATCGCTGGAATGGACGGGCCAAGAAGCTTTAAGCAAAAAATACCCATTTGCGCTCAGCGCCTCAGCGGGTCCCGGAGACACGGGCGGGACAGGAGGACGGGAAAGCGTCTCCGTGGGAGCAATCCGGGATTCCCATACCACCATCGATTCATCCATAAACCTATCCATTGGTGTCCGCGCGTCCGGAACGCCACTCCAGGTCACAGACGTAGCGGTGATTGTTTTTTGAATGGGTGGGGGGGAGGGCGTTGCGAGGATGTGTGCGCTGACTCGTGTGTGTTGTACATGCGCGTGCGTGTGCACGCGTGTTTGTATGTGCGTGCGCGTGTGTTTGCGTGTGCGCGCGTATGCATGCTTGTGCGTGTAGGTGTGTGTGTACGCGTGTTTGTGTGCGTGCGTGTATGCGTGTGTACGTGTGTTTTGTGCGTGTACGTGTGTGAAAAACACCCGTTTTACCCCTGTTCTATGCCTTGTAATTAAACCTCCAGACATAACAGTGTGTGTGTGGGGAGCGGGGGGTGGGGGGCTGTAAAGGACTGAGTGGATGGTGGAGGGGGGGGTTAATTTGCAAGATTGGCAAAATGTGTTTTCAAAAGCTCAGTGGCCCCAGACAGCATAACGACCCGGGGGGGGGGGGAGGGGAGAGGCCGTCACTTCCTCGCACTGCGATCAGTGAGCAGTCGTGAACACACACGAGTGTGAACTCACACCTGGGCTCCGACCTCGCTGTCACACCAGGAAACTCGTACATTTCCTCCGCGTTCGTCTCGAGATCGCAGACGGCTCCACACCGTTGGTCGGAGCCCCGGGGCAGGAGGCTAACATCGGGGTTTGAGACATTTCCACAACACCTGAAATCTCAAGACATTAAAATAATGACAAAATAATAATAATAATAATCCTTGCATTTGATATAGCGCTTTTCACGTCTTCTGGACGTCTCAAAATGGTCTCACAGGCTGAGACGAGGAGATTCCAAACAGGTGCTCACTTCCCCTCGGACAAGTGACACAGAGCAATCGCACAGCTGTCAGATGGCTGATCCGATCTGAGTTTTAGAGTAAGTGGATGTGTTTTTCTGACCATCTCCTGTTGTTAACGATTCTCAAAGTGCAGGTAGTAGTAAACTGTTAATTAACTCTTCCAAATTGCGCTGGATTGAAAATGGATAAGAGCTCCAGTGGGGGAGCGAGCACCAGCACAGACACGATGGGGGAGAGAGAGAGAGAGAGCAGGGGAATGGGAGTAGAGTAGAGAGCTCTGGGGTGCAAAAGTCGAGGGTGCCTATTTGCTGTGGGGAGTGTTTATTTCCCTCCCCCCCCACCACCACCACCCACTCCCCCTCTCTGTCTGTCGGCTCCACCCGATAATATCTGAAAAGAAAACATTGAAAAAATCTGTGAAATATCGCATTTTGTCACCCTAATAATTGTGATGATTCATTAGTGAATCATTAATGTAAGTCGCCAAATACGATCGATTGGTCGGGGGAATTTCTTTGCAGTGGGGGGATTAAAATTCAGGTCACTGTAAGATTCACTGTGTTCCATTTTTTTCTGTCTCAAGTGATGAATAATGTAACGGTTGCAAACAGCAAAAAGCCACCTTGCTGGCACATATCATGGGACGTTCTCGAGGGAGTAAAGCCCTGTAAACAACATCTGAATCCCCCTCCATGCTTCATCTGCCATTCTACATATATTTAGAATACTTTCACAATAAAATCCTCCTCAGAAAAAGATATAACTGCTGTCTTATTCTAACACAGCTCGTGTGGGACTGCACCTGTAAAAATAAAATCAATATTAATAATTCTCGCATTTAATATTACCTTGGGAGGGCATCTCGAAGCATCTGGTTGGATTTTATCTGGGTGACTGGGTGTTTTATGGTGACTGGGTTGTTGTTGGGTGAAGACTCAAAGGTTCCCCTTTTGGGGGAGACAGTTCCAGATTTCCACTAACCACAAAATATACAGTCAATTCACTTTACAGTATATTCTGTGAAGCGCTTTGAGACGTCTCAAAGACGTGATGAGGTGCTATATCAAATGCAAGGATTATTATCATTATCCTTTTTTCATACAAAAGGTAGTGGGAATCTGGAACTCTCTTCCCCCAAAAAGGCTGTGGATGCTGATCCATTCAAATTTTCAAGACTGAGGTGGATCGATATTTGTTAGGTCAGGGTATTAAGTGATATGGGGCAAGGGCGGGTATTTGGAGTTGAGGTACAGATCAGCCATGATCTTAGAGAATGGCGGAACAGGCTCGAGCGGCTGAATGGTCTACTCCTGTTCCTACGGTGTTGTTAGGCTGTGCAATGGGCTGATTAATTCACAGCATAATAATGATCTTGTATCTGACACGGAGTCTGTCACGTCAGGAGGACTCAAAGCGCTTCACAGCATTCACTGTAAACAACAATAAATGACATTTGTATAGCGCTTTCATATTGGGAGGACGAGCCGTAAAGTGTAGTGACTGTGTGTTTTGTAATGAGTTGGAGTTAAAAACGAATTAGACAAACATTGGAAGAAGGAAGCTATGAAAGCTTTGGGGGAGAAAGCAGGGAGTTGGGATGTGAGCGGAGGTTGACTTTTTGCCTGTGACTGCGGCTCACAGTGAATTACAATCTTAGAATATTACAATAATAATCCTTGCATTTGATATAGCGCCTTCTCACGTCTTTTCGAGACGTCTCAAAGCATTTAACAGAACATACTGTAAAGTGAATTGGTTGTATATTTTGTGGGTGAAACGCAGCAGCCAATTGCGCACAGCAGCGTTCCACAAACAGTCGGGGATTGAAGTGACCAATTTTTTTATTACAGCACAGAGGGAGGCCATTCGGCCCATCGTGTCTTGTGCCGGCTCTTTGGAAGAACTACCCAACTTGTCCCACTCCCTGCTCTTTCCTCATAGCCTTGCAATTTTAACTCAATGTCCTCTGGTTACCGACCCACCCGCCAGAGGAAACAATTTATCTATCAAAACCCCTCATAATTTTGAACACCTCTATTAAATCTTCCCTCAATCTTCTCTGCTCTAAGGAGAATAATCCCATTTTACATCAATTAGGGCAGCAATGTTCGTCTCCCATCATTGTCTTCGTGAGATTGTTAATTTACTGACAAAATGTTGTTTGTGAGCTGGGGGGCCATTCACCCAGCAGGGACTGACTCCAACTTAATTCACTCGAGGGGGATGTACAGTCAGTGTGAGGAGAAGGCCAGCCCAGCTCAGGCCCAACACTTATCTCAACCCCCAACCCCAGCCAAACCACAGCCCCAACCACAGCCCAACCCCAACCCACCCAATTCCCCCTCAGCCTCACCTCAGCCCAAACCCAAACCCAACCCCATCCCAACCTCAACCTCAGCCCCAACTCCAACCTTAGCCGAACCCCAATCACAGCCCAAGCCCAGCCTCAGCCTAACCTCAACCCAACCCCAACCCCACCCAAATCTCAGCTCAACCCCAGTCCCAATCTCAGTCCAGACCGAACCCCAACCTCATCCCAACTCCACCCCAATCGACCCCACCCCAACCTCAACCCATTCCAGCCCCGATGTCAGCCCCAACCACAGCCCAAACCCAGCCCAACCCCAACCTCAGCCCAATCTTAAGCCCAATCTCAGCCTAACCTCAACCCCAACCATCTCCAACCCCTTCCAAACCTCAGCCCAACCTCAGCCCAATCCCACCCTGGTCCCAACCTCCCAACCTTATCCCCAATCCCAACCCATCCCTAGCTCAAACCAGCCCCAACCTTAGCCCCCACCCCAGCCCCAACCACAGCCCAACCTCAGCCCAGCCCCAACCCCCAACCCAAGCCCCAACCCAACCCTAACCCATCCCCAGACTATCAAGTGATATGGGGCAAGGGCGGGTAATTGGAGTTGAGGTACGGATCAGCCATGATATACTAGAATGACAGAACAGGCTTGAAGTGCTGAATGGCCTACGCTTGTTCCTGTATTTCCTATGTTCCATTCCGCAGTCTCTCTCCTCCTGAACATACGGAAAAATCCGCCACCAGATCAGCCGTGTGTCTGTCATACGGGTAAATCCATCACCATCTTAAAGAGTCTCCAAAACAGCCCCCTTCAGAGGACCCCCCCCCACCCCCAGCTAAACTATCAAATCTCTGCCCTGTGTGTGGTGGAGGGATGTTCACTGCGTGTGTGGGGATGGGGGCGGTCACCATGTGTGTGTGTTGGTCACTCTTGTTTGTGTGGGGGAGGTGGGGGGTGAGGTGGCCCTATATTGCTTGAGTGGTCCAGTGTCAGTCATTACCATCAGGTAAGGAAAGAGATACAAATCACTGGCTAATAATAAGTTTCCTTACCTTTGACCTGGCGCCTTTCACGTTGGGAGAATGTCTCAGACCGTTTCTCAGGAGTTACTGTAAAGTGTAGTGACTGTGTGTTTTGTGGATGACTGCGGCAGCCAGTTTGCCGATAGCGATCAGGGAGGGTGGAGGGGGGAAGCCTGGCTGATTGGCAGCTCCGAGCCCCTGGAGACAGGAACCCGGGACATCCCACCCTGTACTCTCCGACCCACATACACTCACACCCGCCATTTCCGTAAATAAATGTTTACGAGCAAAACAACGTCCGTCAGATTAATATGGCAACAAATGGCCAGTGTGTTCTGTGATTTACACCCTGGTTTATTGTATTACACTGATTTTTTGGTTCTGCAAATTCCCGTTCTCCAAGCAGATTAATGCAAAGTCATAAAATGTTGTTTATTGTTCTGCCAATTCTTGTTATTCGCTCTCTCCGACTCTCTGATTGTCTGTGTGTGTGTGTGTATCTCTCTCACGGTCTGTATGTGTGTGTGTGCGACTCTCACTGTGTATGTGTATATGTGTGTGTGTCTCTCTTTGTATATGTGTGTCTCTCACTGTATGTGTGTGTATGAATGTCTCTCTCACCATGTGTGTGTGTCTCACTGTGTGTGTGTGATGTGTGTCTGTCTCTCTCTCTCTTTCTCTCTCTCTCATTGTATATGTCTGGACTATTAGGTGTTGTAGACAAGTTTGAGGATCTTGAAACCAACTATCCAACCTGTAACTCGTTATATTGAGCCCTGTGAAGTGCTTTGAGATGTGGCACCACATGGATTATTATTATTACAGTATTATGTTTCACCCATCGCCGTTTTTCTTGAGATATCCAAACCAAACTGAGAATTCCACGCATCCCACCTCCACATGGAAATCCCAGAGAGAGA